ATATTAATACATTGTGTCTTTCATAGGAGATGTCATTCGTTTGATAGCTTTAGACAAATGAAAAAACGCTTGCAAAATATAACGAAGCACTTCCTATGACGCTGTTGTAAAGCTATAACGATTCATGTCTTCAGGGTGACCAACGTGTTTCTCGGTACCGTAAGATGAATAGAGTTATATCGCTCACTTTTTTGGCACTATGGTATAACTTGTAATTAAAGTTAGAAATCGTAAAGAATCGTAATTTTAACGAAAAATTGGTCTCAAGTTAAAAAATATGTCCACACTTAGGGATCGTATAAAAACCAAGACACTGACAATTCAAGCAATTTTTGTTGTACACGAATCAACAATACACTTTTCGCCTTAAGAACCAGAGAAAGTCTCTCTCAAGATTCCGCTGATTACCTCTATCTTACGATACAAGCCTCTTTGCAAAAAAAAAAATTGCTATTAAGTATATATTGAGAAGTGACAAAACGTTGTTATTATTATGTTTGTATTGTGTATTAAATATTAGTTATCTTACATTTGCAAAATCAGCCAGAGAGAAGAGCAAACGGGCCTGATACAAGTGCAGAGATGATTTTCACGTTTAGCGGCTACGATTTCTGAATAAGTATATATATACATACACTTGTTATATTTGGTATATGAAATTTACACACTTTGCGGGGAGTCAAGTTGTGTGCTAGCCTTTGTAATCCGACATAACGATAGATGGAAAGTTTGGTAAGCTAAGGTACGATTTTTTTTTTTTTTTTTTTGCTATATTGTACTATAGAGTAGGATGTTTTGCTTTAGCTCAACGTAAAATGTTGCTACGTTGGACAAAGCGGCAATATCATCGTTAACTTTTTTAACACACTGACATTTTCATGAAATCAACAAGCAAACTGGACGCTCCAACAACACGCAATTTAGCGCCCAAGAGTGTCTGCTCGTAGGGCGTCCTGCTTAAAAAACATTTTTATTGTATATTGAAGTCTGAGAACGCTTTATTGACAAACCTAAAACGTGTTCCGTGTAATGTCCTTGTGTGTGGCCACATTTGCTGCATGATGCACTCGTTAACAGTGACTTGGTTTCAATACTGAATGGCAGCGTTTACTATGAGCCTTGCTTATGGCACCAGCAAGGCGGCTCTGTTCAGCGCGTACCTCAATGGGGCGAATACTGCATGACAGGCGCGTTATTAAACCCGCAAGGCTAAAAGTGACACGCAAACTTTTCCTAAGCGTTTTAGCATGTTGAAAGGCCGAGTGGATCTAACGCAATTTCGAAGTAGGCGTTGGAAAGTTGGGTATGAACTCTCGTGGCTTAAAACTTATGGTAAACCTTGAAAACTTAGCAAGTTATTTATTGCTGCAGTATAGCATTTATGCGGTGTCGGATACCGCTGCGTATCGTAACAAACAAATCGATGAGCATCTGGAAAGCACGTTTTCTGAAAACTACCAAGGACTTGTAATTAAGAACAGCCTGATAGAGCAAAGGAATTGCTACTGGCGAGCAATTGCTCGTACAAAGTTATATATCTAATACCTATAATAAATAAGCAGCAAATCGAAATCGGGTAAATTAATGTTATAATAAGTACTGCGTACTCTGTTACTGGGACAGATATAATTAGCTTGTAGCCATTTTGCGTTTTTCTATGCAATTTTCCTCAAATGTCCGGTGTTGTAACCACACAGGACAATTGAGGAAACTTCCCTCCATCCGTGGTTGATCTGATTATACCTAACTAGGGCTACGATAGATTTAGATAAACAAATGCCGACAGAACGTTAAATGACCATCTTTAATGAAACGGTGAAATCAGCCAACCTTACGCTCGTTACCTAGGTCAATATATGGAATACAACTAAAGAGCGTCGACTTTGTCGGTGGAACCCATAACTTTATAAATTTTATCGTTAAATCTTTTATTAAGAGAAATTTGGTATGAGATAACACTGCTGCTTGTAGATTAACGTTAGAAGGAGACATGGACAAAAATATGACGTCCTGATGACACGTAGTATACTATAAGAAGCATCAAAAGTAACGTATACTAAGCTATGGCATCACTGGAGCATGGATATATTCGCCATTAATGAATTGATGCTATACAGCAATAATGTATGCTTTACAAAACTGTTACATAATTAGTTATGCGTTTGGGCCAGTGTAGTGGTTTACTATACGCCCCATCGTAATCTGAATTTTGGCTAGCGGCTGATACATCGGCTACGACAATTTCGTTGGAGATCATGAATGGTGGCCGGCCAAAGGGAGACGGATCGGCAAGCTCAGTTTAAATCTATCATTTTTCGTTGTCCGATTCTGCGATTCCAAGAGATCAAGCTGCTATTTAAAGATGTGGCCAGTAAGATACCTCGATTTGACGCTCAAAATCCTAGATGTTCTTTCCATTTAAAGGGATCCAATTCGTATGCTTTTCGATACTTTTTCTCAGTTATGCTTTCAATACTGTCAAGCGAAGCTCAAATATGCCCTTGGTTTAAATCCTTTGAAATCCCTAATTTTTCTTGCAAAATCACCTTCAGCGTTACTGCTGGACCGTGTCAAGCATTACACAAAGTCCGTTGTTAAATCCAGAACAGCACTTAACATTTTTTAGTCTATCTCCTACGTTGGCCTTTCTATTCGCTATGAATCTACTTACGGCTTAATCTGTTTCAAACCCCACCAAGCATTGACACTAAAACGAGTTCTTCGATCGGTTCGACACCGTTCCAACTGAATGAGCTACTCCTACAAAACGCGGCGTCGCTAAATTGTCTCCGGTGAGTGCTGTTTCTTTCTCCCGTCCTTTTATCGGTGATATACATTCCCTGTTAGAGGCCTCCGGTCAGCAGATGAGACACGCGCTATTTCAACTTTCGGCCGACCTCGCCCTAATCCTGGCCGACCTGCTTTATGGTCGTCGTGGCAACTTTACTTGACGGAAACAGACAACGGAAAATGGAACAACCATTTGAATGTGAATCGTTGGGCTTTTTTTCATCAAAGCCGCGCTTGCGAAAGGAGAACTAAGGGGGAAGGTATATAAAGCCATAATAGACGTGCACCGAGGGGCGAAAGCTGCATCTCGTCAAAAGAAATGCTAAATAGGAGACTTAACTCAGTTTCGAAATATTTTTAGTATATGAAAATAACATAGTAGACGTTCTAATTGTGTTTCTTTGGATCTGAGGAATTCAGCCAAATATTGATATTATCGTTAGGAGGGATATGAACTCTTCTGGATACATGTTTATAGATATTTTTTGCCAAGGGAATCTTAAAGCTTTATCATATTTGAAAAATTCAATTATATAATTGAAAGGGAACGCAGTTTTAAGTATTCAATAAGTTGAGTTCCAGATCTGTATAGATCTCACGTACAGCTGAGCTGAGTGAAGGCAATTTTTGTTTTTTAGAGTTCCCGTTTTTGTATCAATGTTGGCTCCTACTAACTATGAAATGTTAAGAGTAGGTGCTGTTTGTATCTTTAGTTAAAGTTATATCACTCTAACGATTTGATCCTTAGAGGAACACGGTAAGGTATTCTGAATTTTTTTACACGCATTGTTCAAACGTAAACCTATGAATCTTATCATAATATCATGATGAACGTCCATAGAATTCTGAGCTAAGAGTGTTTTCTTTTTGAGTGCAAGTTGCAAAAAAATGCGTATATATATATATATAGAATTTTAATAAGTGCATATAACTTGTTCCCATTACTGGCTAGTCCAGCTATGTATATATATGTTTCTCCCACCAGACCCATGTGCGTTCTGAGAGGGCGAAGGTGTCCAGCTGCATCTGAGGTAGGGTGGGTGTGAAGTGGGGCTTTCTCGAGGGAGTTTTGATCAGAACACAAGAGGCTTCCAACTGACTATGAGATAAAACTTTTTGGATGGAAAGAATAGCTTTTTTTAATTACTTTCCATAGCTTATGATTGAGAAAAGACCACTAACTGAGATATCTTGGATCCGGCGTGCACTAGACAACTTACGATATTTCGAGCTCGGGCAATGATAGTAGCGCCAGAAGACTGACAATTTAATACAAAAATGCATCTGTTAGCGAGCGATAATTAAGTTCTGCACTTAGATCTCGTGCGACTAGGACCATACTGATTAATCTATTATAAAACAAAAACCAATATTATATTAAACAATGCAAATCTAGCACAATACAAAAATGAATCACAATCGTTTTAGAGACAGGTGAGAATTTTATCGATGACGTTCAGAGCTCAGAGTTTATTAGAGTATATTATGGAAATAGGATTCTTACATTTTTGTGTAGTTTTCTGTGGAAAATTTTACGGCTATATAGAGTCGACGCTCTAATCCTTACAGAGGGTAGGTTTGGTTCTCAGACAAGAAATCTTCGAGAGGCTAACACTTTTAATACAAAAAGGTAACTTTTAATTAATGCAAAACCTATCCGTAACAGGAGATAATTTAGCAGATTTATAAGACAGAAAATTTACGCGCATTCTAATACCGTTTGTCAAGCGCAAATCAAAGCGAAGGCAGTTGATGTTTGTTCGCGATTGTTTATTCAGTTATTAAGTATACTGAACAAAATAACCAAATGAATAAACGTATAGCCCTGTCAAATATGAGAGAACATTGAGGCCTAAATTAACTAATGTTGCCGCATTAAGCATTTTCGTAGGACATGTCGTTCTGTTGTCTATGATTACGCTTCACCTACTTAAACCTGCAGCTCACTAACTCATACGGCAATTACGTAGCTAATTGAAGAACATTAAAAGCTGATTGCGATTATTTTTTTTGACAGATCGGCACAGGTGTGGTTTACCTGCAGGGACATTACAATCTCTAAAATGGCCTTAATCCAGTAGGCTGCGACGGCTAGGCGGTGGTAGACTGTTCCGTTCTTCTAGCAAATTCATACCTACATCGATGTACGTTTTTCCGCATTCAATCAAGTGATAACAACGAACAGATATGTATGGCTTTGATTCGTACGCTACAGGGAATTTTCATTGTGATACGAGTCGAAACATTGAAGAAGACGCTAGCATGTTCGGTTGGGTCGCGGTTGTAAATGTAACAATGAAAGAACGCAAGTTCGTAGTGAAATTAAGCAATACTGTTTGAATGACTAATTTCTTTTACCTAGTTAAACAGGTGAAGGATCATTTGCACGCAGGACAAGAGTGGCGACCTTATTCAGCCCGCCGCCGGGTGTCGCTCCTTGTAATTTCGGACTCCTGATTGAAGCGATATTAACTTCAGAAATGGTCTGAAAACCCTGCAGGGGAACTATTCATTTCTGTAATATTAAGCATCCAAGATCAGACAGTTGAAGTGTACGACAGGCCCTACAAAAGCAGCGAGGTGTTCACAGTCATCGTTCTGTTTGTGCTGTTAAAACTGTCTCCTCCCCTCAAATCCTGATCATACTGTTGAGGTGTACGCTGCATTATAGAATACGGAAACAAAGATGTGGTTATCTCTAGCTAGCATTATGTTGGGGGCCGTACGGTTCGTTACTTGTAGCACGGTTGCAGAAGCAAACCACTTCATTGATAACTTGCTTGGTTCCAAACTAGAACAATACGTGGAGGCCTATGGTCTTAATGGCGTCCCCATTCCGAGCTGGACGTTGGAAAAGATCAAAAGCACTGCTCCTACAAACCGCGATGTTAAGGGCAACCTTACCAGAGGATTTCTTAGGGGGTTGACTGCAGTAAAGAGACGTGGAGACTGCTCGCCAACCATTTGGATGTATGGAAACATTTCGCTTTTTTGCCATCTCGGAATTGACTCGGTGTACCCTGAGTGGCTGTTGACGATTAAAGGTTACGAAATAACCGGACGAACCAAGCAGCTTTTTTTAAAGGCACCGCTAAAAGGGTCGGCAGCATTGCTTGAGGTATCAGCACTGCCCAATAGTGCGGCTTCACTCCGGACTTTGTTTATTAAAAAACTTCATTTCGAGATTAGCTACGCTGATCTCGGCCTCAACACCGTACGTAGAAACAACCTCCATGATCAAATTGAAAAGCATGCGGCCGCTACAGTCTATAACGTTATCTACAATACGTTTGCGAAAGCCATTATCAGCGCAATGCGTGACGCAATTCTGCCGCCTGTGTAAAAGCCTAGATAGATACTTCATTCAATGATCTGAGATTATACTGTGAAGTTTTTCATCATAATTCGTATTTTCCTATCTATTTCATGTTGTGTGTTTGGTGAAAACCTTTGATCTGGAGAAGTGTCTACTGGTGGTTATAAACCTGTTTGTTACTTGCCACTGTTGCTAAGTGAAATAATTTATTACTTATATATATATATATAGGGATAGATGAAAGTAGAAATCACCTAAATATAGCGTGTACTGTACATTTAATATAATATTGCGTTTATATTGATGTGCCGCATGAAGTACATGCCATCCTAATAAATAATTTTTTCAAATAAAGAATTGATAGGTCTTTCTATTTAAAGGCGAGGTGTCCAAAGGGCGGTTTTCTGAACGGTTCACTTCGTTCTCACGACAAAAGTCGATCGAACGGAGAGGTTACTTTCGCAATAGCTTCGGATAAGATGAATAACAAAAATTGTTGGTACTTTGTTTCGTTCAGGGACTTCGGCACGTTTCGCAGCATATATTCAATTAGTTGTTATTATCGGATCATTTTTAATGCCGTGCCGTTGACTGTATCTGTCTCAGAATTGCTACCGCCGTGACACCGTGCTTAATATACAACAGTTCGATCGCAATAGCATTTGCAATACCGCAAAAGCATCCAGTCGCAATCCGTATCAGCTCCGAATTTATTCGCGATACAAGTAGCACGATTAACAGCAGAACCAACGGTCGCGATAAAGCCAGTGACGATTTCAAAACTTCGAAAGCATTGATCATTCTCGATATGTTTTCTTATTTTCATTTGTTGCCTCAATAGGTTTCACGAGGACTGTCGTCCAAGAACGCCCAGTCGGCCAGTACCTGATTGATGCTTAGCCGACTTATACGCTGCTTACGAACCACTTACATAGAATAATGTTTCTGAGCATGCTTCCATGCGGACGACGAAAGGTGTGTTTCGAAATTGGAGAAAATAAGAGTTCTAAGGGCAAAGCGAAAATGAAGGCGGGACACAGACGAAGAAAAAGCAACGGGGGGTGGGGGTCCGCATTTTTTCATGCGTTATCCCTATCACCGCTGCATAGGCAACGAGAGAATATACTTAAATATTTAATTTAATTAGTCTTTTTCTAGTACCTTTGAGCCGCAAAGACGGAAGGTGTTGTTCTTCCTCTTTATTCGATTGAGTCCGTCCTGTTGACGTACGCAATCAATCTTACTCTCTCTCTATGTGCTTAGCACAGTGGACCTTCCTGGCCCTGGCCTTCTGCCGGAGAGTCTTGTGGCCAACGTCCTTGTGCCGCTAAGGCTCGCCTGATTCAACTACTTAGGTCGAGGAGATTCCATAAGACTGTTTAGTTTCTCAACTCGTCGGGCGACTACTGCGTTCATGTTCACTGTCACTACATCCGGAATGTAGCTCCGTTGCCAGCGTTGCTGCCGCTTCTGCTTCGAAAGCAGTGACGCCATAAAAACTTTTCTAAAGAGATCATCTTTATGAGGCCACCTATCGGAAACTTACATAGTTTGTCTTTCGTTTTTCTCGTCATAAATATTGCTCGTTTTAATATCACTTAGTTTAGTGGAGTCACGCAGGGTCGGTGTGTGTCCTCTGCACGCGCACGTACATGTAAATTGGAATACGTGGGGATACTGCGTACGCCTTAAAGGACGTTTTTTCTATTCGGCGTTTTTCTAAGATGTAAGATGAAGCTAGGAACTGGCTTATGCCAGAAATGCTCCTGTGGCTGCGCGTAAGCGCTCTGTTGCAGGAATTTTATCTACTAAAGGCCGTTACAAGTAAGCATGACAAAATAAAGGTATCTTAGGAAAAGAAGGAATGGGACGGGAATCACTATCGCTAACAACCCATTTTCAAGTCCAGCGGTTAACTAACTGTAGGCAAATGATTTAGCGTTGCGCCCAATTAGTTCTCAACACGATCGTATTTGGGAAGCAACTCGCAACGGAATTTCAATGCAGCTGCTAATTTCCACCTAATTGTAATTAAGGCCATATTCCTAATTGCCTAGATCAACAGGTGAGAAGACCGTCATCCTCAACATGAGAATGAGAATTTATTTCTATCATACTTAAAACAAGGCCGACAAATCGCGAGCTATTGTAATTAATAAATGAACAAACATCGATTATAAACTAACTTGTCTATTCTATGGTTGAGTATCTCAGTTAGATAGAAGGCTTCACAAATCTAAGGCACTTTCGAACAGCTTGCAATAATGAATTGTTGCTACTGATGTCGCTGAACTTAGGACACCGACTTGAGCTATTCGCCCTGCTATTGTGACCTTAAGGCTGCGGTGCGGAACAATGAAAGATAGCCCACCTTGCTTTCGTATTGGTTTGTTAGAGGAGCTGGGCGCTACGAATCAATAATTCATAATCTATTCGCTATGCATTACTTTATTATTATTTGGTCATTAGCAAAAAGGAAACAGAGAGGGGAGTCGATTACCGAACAACGCACTCAATTGAAATTCAGTGGTCTGCATTCGATAACAAAAAAAGCAAGGTAGGTTCAACAATGTTGCTATTAAACGTAAATTAGGTTTGTGTACAATTTCAGGTTCGTCAGAGGAGAACTTAAAGGATCTAGGCCATTAGACAACCCCAATATGCGCAAAAAAGCAGATGTGGCTCATAACTTTCGCTTGTATTATATAATATGTCAATCTTCTGTAAGCATCCGATGTGTATGTACTCATTTCTGATCGAATAAATTTCCCTGCATGCTGACCGTCCGAGTCCGTCGTCACGCATACATGTATAAGCTTCATTTGCGATAATAAAGCAGGAAAATCTTCCGTCGATCATCCTCAAGCCAACACCAATAATCATAGTCATTTTACGATTCACATAACTGAGAAGATATATTAATATGGCATGAAAGTTAGCTACATCAGCGAACCAGCCGCTACATTAGCGGAGTGAAAAATCCTTCGCTCCTTGAACCATCACTGCTTCGTGACAGGTAAGTTTAGTATTTCTTGCGAATCATCAATAATAGACTGTGTCATGAAAGCGTCCATCTGCTGGTTCAGTGTAGTCCACCGCTATTCGTATAGACAGACGATGCTGAAGGTAGCATGATAGAATCAGATGTAAATACATCGGTGCATTACTGTAGTGCGTCGGATCATATATTCATGAATGCCATTTTAACTGGTCAGCCCAGACGTTTGGAAGCTGTCAGGAAGAAGCATCAGGACAGTGTGACACAGCTTTTACAACTATTTGCTTTCTCTATGAAACCAGTTTGCTTCCATGACGGTATTTATTAAATAAATAAGTACCATAAAACATCCATTTTGTCATTAGAGCACCCTGCGTTCACGATAACGTTGCTCCCTGCAACGTCTCAGGCTAAAATGCTTCGAAGAATTGTTGCATTAGTTCTTCGTTCATCGTTCAGTAATTTGTTTCTTACACAAATATAACGTGTGTGTGAGTGTAGATATAACTACGTTAGCGTATTCCAGGTAGATGGCCTGACAGAGAGGGCCTAAAATCCTAAATGACATTAATCTGAGCTGGTGTTTTGCTTACTGAAACCTCTAAATATATCTATAACGTTTGCACGTTTATTTACCTCATGCGTTTTTTTTACATTGCTAATCTGTGCTAGTGTGTGTATATACAGGATTGAATTTTCATCTAGCAATAGCCAGGAGAATTTAGCAGCGGTCGGAGGCGTAACTTTTACCCGCGCAGTAAAAACCGACAGATATTCAAGCGTTAGTGGTAAATTACAACATAGATCGAAAATTACTATTAAGAAAAAGTTAAGTGATTGCACTAACTGCCTTTTCACATAGTGCACTTCCCGCACTTACTATCACTCGGCAAAAGATGAACGAATTGGCAAAGCAACCAAGAAGCGATTTACGCATTTTATTAAGAATCTCTTTTCCGGAATAATAGGTCTAGTAAAGCAACTTCTTTTCGTTACGACGATCAACGAGAACCCTGAAACTTGATGGGATGCCTCGTCGAAAATATGGTTTCATCTTTTGCCCCACTATTAGCATTATGCAGACCGCCTTGCCCTCTGCTCCTCAAGTCTCACCTTACATCTGGAGGCCATCTGTGTCTGTTCTTAATGGCATTAACTGTCATCCGGCATTTAGAACCAAATTCGTTCTAGCAGCAAAAGTGTTCTGCCGATCATTATCGGCAGCAACCAGACGTGTGCGTGACCAATACTCAACGCAGGCCTGGGTCCCTATACGAGTCATGCCAAGGAATGAAATTTTCACAATGACCTGTCGAGGCTTCGCCTATTTAAAACTGCTAAAACCAAGATTATAATATTAAGGGATTGAGGTGTATATAGAGTACAGAAAACGATGCTGCTAATGGCGCTACTGCCTATTCGTAAGTTCGTTTCAACTATCAAAGGCAGGCTGTGTGAAACTTGAGTCATCAGTAGGTGTCCAACTGGAGAGCAGGTAACTTTTCAGTTATCGAAAAATAGCCAACGAATCAATTGCTACGGGAACCGTAACCGAAAATAGTTAACTTTTCAAAACGTAGGCCTCCCACGATGATTCTGCGCGGTGAGTGTTGGAGACCGCCGTGACTTGTATCCTGTTACGAAACACCTAAACGAAGACATAGTGCATAGTATCTTGTGTCACTGTAGAATAGTTCATTGGTACAGATGAACCCGCACCTGTTTGATGGTACCTCACGCTGCGATTGATTCTCGTCACGAAAATCTACCGGTTGAAGAAGGATGTGTAGCTACATTGAATAAAGCTACATCGAGGAGCTACATCCGAATGGAGCAATATTCAATAAAGTATAATATGTATTGTAAACCTTTCATGCAAGTCTTTTTTTTTTCATTTAGGCTTTAGATATCGCACATTCAGTCTCGTCTTAATAAAGAAATAGTAGTAAAACACGCGTGATGTATTTTTGATAGCTTTTTCTCCCGGTCATTTTATAGGTAATGGGACCACTTTTGCGCAAATGCGGAAAATATCGGCTGCGTTGTTGATACACTTGGAAGTGTATTACTTAAGTTATATGAATTTAATGTGAAGAAAATTCTTCGTATTACCTGAGACTGATGTTACGTCCACTTCACAAATTGGAATAAAGGAAAACTAAATAGCTCATTGAACTTATGTGAAGTTTATAAAGTTGGTCGTCAAAAGATCCCTGTAGCTTCCCTATACGAGAATTTAG